CCCCAAAACCCCAAAACCCCAAAACCCCAAAACCCCAAAACCCCAAAACCCCTAGAAAATCTGATATTGTAGAAAATTTGTAAAGATAAAGCATAAATATTGTTTTGATGGAGAACAAAGGAATTGATTGTCTAATTTGATACGGAGAGTATGAGAACAAACATGGAGGCATTAGTTGTTCCCAAGATCATTTTTGATGACAAGACTGATTCGGTAATATGGCTCAAGACATGTTTGAACACAGTCAGACCAAAATTCCTGCAAAGTGCTTTGAATGTCAAGAGGAACTCAACAAAGACCAAGTACTAAAGTTGATGGATTCAACCAAAGTTGGATTATACAAACTATACTGTGCAAGAACTGAGATTGATCCAAAGAGCCAGAAAGTACAAAAGTGACCATACTGCACTTACTACGAAATATGGGACATCAACAATAACTCCCACATCTTTTACTGTCAAGAAGACAGTTGAAGAAAAGTCTGATGTTTCATCTGCAACAGAAAACTCAAAGTAGTGTGTCCTTCTGAATTATAGGTTGCTTCTTCTTCCAAAGACAAAGAGAGTATTGAAGTTCAAGAAGAAGTGCTGTCTCATTCTAAATGAGCTGCATTCCTGACCATGCAAGCTGATTGGGAGACCGCCATGAGTCCTGGACAACAGAGGAAATGTCCTGGATGTGGACTCGGAGGCACAAAGGACGAAGATTGCACCAAGATGACTTGCGTTCGCTGAAGTACTTTGTGGTGCTATATCTGAGGCATGAGTGAAGCCCAAGTTGAAAGAGAAAGCGTCGATTCAAACTTTGGCCAACATTTTTTAGGTTGGGAAACAAATTCTAAAAGATGTCCAAAGAAGTTGACTTATATTGCAAAAGTTGATAAAAGATGGGATTCAGAAGATGAAGAAGCAAACACAGAATACTTTCATAAAATCCTTCAATATAAGGCAATGAGAGAATTCTTCTCAGAGTATACTGAAGAGCAATTCCAGAATTTATGTGAGATAGTCCCTGAAGCGAAAGACTATTTAGACAAAATTGAAGAAGTAATGACAATGGATCTTGAATTGATAAAAAGATAATGCAATAAAACATTACCAATCAAGCATAATCTACATCAATTTAGCAATGTAAACCAGGGGTTTTGGGGTTTTGGGGTTTTGGGGTTTTGGGG